TGTTATTCTTCTGATTGTGAGCCCACCGGGCCGGTCGAGAATGTAAGCCCACCGGGCCATTCTCAGTTAACTATACTTTTTCATTTTCCCTTAAACTGGTTTTTTGATTTATTCTAAAGATCCTACAATTCTTGCCAAGCCTTTATATTTATTCGTTTTGCTCTTAAATGATGATTTTTCTGAGAGAAAGATGTCTTTATGATGACATCAACATTATTCTGATAAGAGCATTCTTTAAAGATTATTAAGCGTATACTTTATAATCTTCAAAATATTTTATTTTAAATGATATATTTATTAAACTTTTGTAAACAAAAGAATGAAGAATTCACCAAGATTAGGTTTTCTCTAAATAAAATGTAGGCATCAATTTTCTAATAATTTTGAAAAACTTAATAAAGTGATTTTAGTTTTAAATTTTTTTTAACAGGTGCTTCTTGTAAACCAAAGAGTACTAAGGACCTTAATAACTATAAATTATAAATTTTACTGAATAACACATTGTGAAGCAAATTATTTTCTAAAAATTAAAAATTAAATCGAGTTTGAAAAAAATATTTATATTAAAAGAAATATTTGTAATATTCAATTATGTATTTATCTGATATTACGTATGAAAATTAGAAAAGATAGAATTTAAATTATCACTAAGTCGACATTCTGAAGGAAGAATGACTTAACATTATTCTATATTTTGATTAAGTTTTAGAATATACGTATTTTTGATATTCATAATTTTAATCCATTATGAATTTCCTTCACGAACCTCTTTACATCTTTATTGAATCAATTGTTCGAATTATTTATTTTTAAGTCATATGGGCGAAAATATCCAGTTGAAGCATTGATAGTTATCTTTTTACGTCAACCTCTAGGATCATCCAGGGCGGCCTTCAAAAGTTCAGTGATGTAAGTTAGTTCTATTTATTGGTTCTCTTCTAGCACATGATTGTAAATTACACAATCATGCGCTAGAAGAGGGAGAGAAGAACCAATAAGTAGTACACCCTGGATGATCCTCAACCTCAACAACATATAAAAAATTAATCAAATACGTCACGTCAATACGTCATAGACAACAAATTTTAATTTTACAATTTTATAGATGAAATTTATTGCTAAATATAAATTTGAATTTAAAAATATTCATACGATAGTAGAAAAAATAAAATCTAAATTGTCGCTAAGTCTATATTCTAAAGGAATATACTGTAAAATGAAGATCTATCTAACATCATTTCAATATTTTTATCATTAATCAGAGGATATTTAGCTATTAAAATGTTTTTTTGATATTGATGAACAACCTTTCCTTTCTCTTGTAGCCAATTATAAACATCATCATCCTTAATTTGGGATAATTCATTTACAAATCTTTCGATATCTTTTTCGAAAAAAAATAATACATGTGATGAACTGGAACTGTACCAAAGGTCAAAACTTAAATATGATCCTCGAAGCTGCATGAAATCCACAAAGTAAATCGCTTTAATAGTTTTTTCTTTATAGGTTCGGTCCGCACTCTTAGATAAATAATTTTTTTCAAATTGTTGACGACTAAAGTAAATTAAATTTTTTTAAAAACGTAGAAATCAATGAAATCAATAAAAAAAAGAAAATTCAATTTTTAATTACCTAATTAAAGCATCGACAATACAGTGTCTACAAATTTTAATTTTTAACTCATAGATTACTATGGGGTCCTAATTTCATTCTTAC